CAGTAACTATTGCGAATCTAGCAAAATGGTATAGGACTTTTCGACTCAGTTTTATTCCTTCTACCTGCCTACGAGAGATGTTAAACCAATTCTGGGACACCCTGTATATATGAGCAAATCCACCGTAGTTTTAACTTTTATGAAACTTTATTTTTTTTTTCAAATGTGCGGCACATACATCATCTTATATTGACTAACATGTCTGAAATAGGTTCAAAAACACCAATCTACACGTTAATAGTTTTAAGTAAACGGCGCAAAATTTATCTGATTGAAGTCGACTTAATTTCTTTCCATTGGGTTTGAAAATTGTGGCCACGTGGATTCCGTGGTAAGTTATATATATGTATATGTAAGAAAGAGTTTACAGTTAATATGGACTGAAAAAAATTTTCTCGGAATATGTATCAAGGTGATTTGTGAATTTTTCAATGAATTTACGCTTTTGAAGATAATCTTTGATACTCTGGTGTGTGTTTCATTTTTGAGACACAATTTTCAACAACGTCCCCACACAGAACAAAAACTCCATTAGACGTCTATTAGACGTCGACAGCTCCATGCGACATCTAATAGATGTCTAATGGATGTTTGGATGGATGGATGTCTGTGTGGGTCTTAAATTTTTCAGTTTTGTGTTTGCTACAACTTCAGTGTCTCAGTTAGTCAATTAACTTAACGGCGCGTACGTAATATTGTTAATTTTACGAAAATTAATTAATATTTTGACAAAATGGAGGGACAAGTTTTTCAGCGGTCACCATTTTGTACAGTTACATGGCACATGATCGATCTCCAGGGAAAAGATGTATGAATGCAAGAACTAACTTTTTCATTTATAACGAAAGCGTTATATAACACGGCGCAAGTACAAAGTTATTAAGAGTGAAACACAAATTCAAAAGGGACAAAATAAGTTGTACGATTTTCTATATTTTTGTCGACTCGGTGTACTTTCAAACACCAGCAATGACACAAACACTCTGCATTCTTATACGTAGTTACTAGATAATATACGAAGAAAAAATACGTCTTGTGCATATGAAAAACAACTCAGATTCAGCAATATAAAACAGTCCATCAAAAGTTAAAACTACGGTGGATTTGTCCACATATATGTATATGTATATGTATACATATACATATATTGTATATATGTATGTATTCATATATATATTTATATATTAATACTTACTCCTTTTATTTTATGTTACAATAACTAAAACAGATAATCTTTTTAAGTAAATAGTTAGTAGTTTAAAGTATTTACCTTAGCACTAACAGTTTCGCAAACATAATTTAAATAAACAATTCTTATTATCTTCAACAACATAAATACTTGATAACTAATCCATCCTATTTCCGGCATCAGAGTATTGCCGTCAATAAATAATGTTCTATAATGTGTAAAAGTATATATAAGCATTATTGGTATATATAAGGAAGAGCTCATTATGCTCAAGGTTATGTGTGTTTCAAACATCGTGTTTAATTCGCGAGCTAGTTGGCTCAGTTCTAAATGCAGATGCCTATCAACAAATAGAATTAGTTAATATGACAACAGAAAACATATGTATAAAAAAAAGAAAACTATATTTATATCTGTGAAAATCGATATATTAACAAATATAAAGGCGTTTATAATGGCTGTTTGAAGCAACCACGGAAGTTGATGTGTATATTGATTGAATTAATTTATTGAAAACAATGTATAAAACGTTTTCGATCTCTGGATTAGGTCTTTTTCAATATAATTTTACAAAACAATAAATTAATATATTCAATATATTAAATTGAAGTTACTAAATTTATTCAAACACTGTCATGTACTTTAACTTACATCGAGATCCAGAATATTTGTTTGTACTTATTTTTGCTAATATTTTGATGAATGATGTGTACAGGTCTATTCCATGTACATCTCAATTCATGTTCCTTTTCTATTATCAGATATTTTATGTGTTTGGTTACTTCGTCAAATCTGGTACCAATATACCTGTAAAGTAAAACTGATTTAGAAAACGTGTGTAATATGAAAACAATACGCGTTATGAGAAAGTCCAAAATTTTATTTTTATTAGAACTCTTTGTGTATGTAATAAACATCAAACCATTTTAATTTAAATACATATATACATATGTATATATATGCATATACACACACACACACACACACACACATTCGGAAAAAAATGGATTAGATCAAGAGATAGTGCCTCGCGCTAAGTTCATGCGCAACAAAGTGCTTGAACTGCGCGAGCACACTGTGCTTCTTATACGCGAAAATCAGGCATTTCATTGGAGAGGAAAGTTTTAATCAGCCATTTTTTAATAACAACTGAACAATTTCTTTTCAGTCTCAATTTGTGTTGAAAAACATAAAAGAAAAGTATTCTTTTTGTTGGTTGTTTCTGATTTTTTTAGATATACGACGATAATAAAAAATACTTAGCGCGGCTGCATCAGACTGACATACAAAAAAATAATTTCATTATAATTGAAGAGCAGCCGCGCCAAGTTTTTTTGCATTAAATATTTTTTATATTTTGAAAAAAATTTGTGCAAAAATATTCTAGTAATAAATATAATCTTACCAAAGTACATAGTTATATACTTAGGATTAGTTATTAATAATCACGGAAAAAAAGTTAAAGCGTAGTCTTATTATAGACACAATTATGTTGTTGTATATTGTTTTTCAACAATAAAGCAGGTTTTTATAGAAAGAATGTTTTGTAGTATGTATATAATAACGAAAAAAAACGT